GGTTGAGTTCCCTAAATGGCCTTCCTGTCTAGGTGTGGATGCCCTGGCTGTATCCTAGGCCACGTGTAACCAGCGAAGCATCAGTGTTGATGTCGATGATGGCAACAAAGGCCAGTAAAGTGAATTTCTCAAACAAACTGCCTGACGATAGACTGAATTTGCTACTGGGGTTGAGTTCTTTCAATCTCTGGCAGAAGTTTCTGTTGTTTGAAAAAAATGATTTTTTCCCCGCTGAACGGTGGGGGCTGCTCACAGTTCTTCGAACGGCTCGTTGGTCTCTCGTTTTTGCGAAGATCCTCCTACTGAAGGCGATTTCTAGTCTCAATTGAATACGGACCAGTGATTGAATCGCCTTCAGAAGCACTGTTCGAATAGCGGGTCACATGAGGTCCACCTGGAATGCACCTCCGGTTTTGTGTTCGCCCCAAACAGAATCACAATTTGAAACAAGTAGTTGGCCCATGCGTGGAACAAAGAGCTATCACTCGACTGTTCAGATTCGCCGCGTAAGCACGTCGGATTTCTTCACAGAAGACGACTATCGGTCTAGGAGCAAGAATCAGGTTTCCCTTTGTAAAGCAGTCGTCCTCTATCCAGGAAGCATGTGGTGAGTCAACTTCCTTGCACGAGGAATCCCATAGAAATCTAGTGGAGCTTTGTTGTCGTGGACTGTTCTGTATATGGGGCCTGTTGTACCACTGTTGACCGTCTGGTAGCTGCAGACTCTTCATACAGTGATGTTGTGGCATATGGGTAGAAGGACGAAACGGGCAGAGAAACGCTGGGCTTGATGAGTAACATAACATGATATTATCATCGCATGCAAACCAAAATTACTGTTCGATTACTCGGTGTCGGTAATTTGTATCGTCGACCGCGATGGGCATAATCAGCTGTAGTCATCGTCATCATCGTCAAAGGTAGCAACATCAGTGTTGGCACCCATGCTTCACTGTTCGTCTCATTACAGTTAAAGCTCTAGTGGGTGTGGTAGGGGACCTAGTGCTTCACCTCCAAAGAAACTGACAACACGAACACCACCGACATGGATTGGCCGCCATTTCTTGCAACGTCTCCAGCCAAGCACCGCATCCTGAAAGGCGTACAACACCCAAACTCTTTGTGATCTCTTTCAGTTTCTTCTACCAAGTCATGCGTTGTTCGCTTCGCGGTTGGCGCCATTCTAAAGGAGGCATGGAAAACAACACCTGTCTCTGTAGACGGTGTTTCGGCATGCGTAGCACATGACCGAGCCACCGCAGTTGATAGTGCTGGATGTTTTCCTCGATTGAAGTACCTGCCGCACAACCAAATACCCGTTTTCTAATCAGCTCGTTACTAACGTGCTGATGCCATCCAAAACTAGTAATGCTTCTTGGCCATCNCTGCCGCACACCAAATACCCGTTTTCTAATCAGCTCGTTACTAACGTGCTGATGCCATCCAAAACCAGCAATGCTTCTTGGCCATCGGTGGTCAAAAGCCTGAAGACGCTTCAGACCGTCTGTCCGCATGGGCCATATCTCGCACCTGTACAACAACACTATAGCCTGTTACACACGACCCTTAAGATCCAGTGAGATGCCTTCTTGACGCCACAAGTGACGCAAATTAGCGAACGTGATTCGAGCCTTTGGGATTCTTGCACTCCAGAGCTAATACAACTACCGAGGTGTGTAAAGTTTTCCACAATCTCCAATGATTCTCCTTGAATTGGAAGGCACATATTCGGAGAATGAATTAGCTATGTTCAAAGTAGGATAACGATTAAATGTGGACTCCTCTGTATGAAATCTCTGTTCAAGCTCCTGCTCATTGGTAGTCGCCGGCTGTCGGTATTCCTTTACAATCTAAGTAAAGCCTAAAGGTTCGGGGAGTCCAAGATTTCTACGGCCACGTGTTGCTTACAATGTATTGTGGATCCTTCAAACCCAGTATCACAGAATGGACCTTTGGATAATCTCAAATGATGCCCGGTGTCTCTATGGCTTCGCCGAGGTTCGTCTTGTATGGGAAAATTGACTACACAACCGATTGTTGCTCCACTTTTTGTCCCCAATCTCATCCCGTCTGCATCGATAAAAATGTCTCCTCTCTTGTTCTTCACCACGATACTTTGATATGCTAAAGGTTATGAGCCCTTGGTGTCCCAACGGTTTACACGAGGTGGACTGAAATGTGCTTTCTTCCTGATATCGTCCCCAGTAAGCTTCTTAGTCAACAATGATCTGTTTTACGCGGGTAGGTCGTTCTGCTCACAATCGGGCAGTATGTTTCACGCTTGTCCCGTAAAAGTGGTAAGCCCATTCGATCCAGTGTGTGAGTGCAGTCAACTGTTGACGAGGCATTTTCTTGTCGAAGACCTTGATCGCCGCCACTTTCAACTGGTGCTGATTAAACACCGTTCTCGTGAGCGGTCCTTTTTTGGGGGCAAGATAAAACTCGGACCAAGGTGTCTGATTCGCTTCTTTTGATAAGTTGCCGAATTTACTTTTCTGGAGAATTCTATGCTGTCTGTTCCTGTTTACCACTAATGGCAGTTCTGAATCTACAAATTATTTCTCCCTATGCTCTACCCCTGTAAGACGTCAAACCGGAAGCTGATCACGTTATTTTGGCCTCGAACGATGGCCGTTTTCTCCTTCTTCGCGTTGCTGATGACCTGACTTCCACGCATCCTGATCTGGATCGAAAGGATGCTTGGATCACAGCTCGTTTTCAGGTGGTCGATACGGCGTTGGTTGCAAATTGCATGATGTGAGTCATACGACCAAGTCGGTTCGAATTCTGGTCAACTATTTCAACAACTTCTAGCCTTCATTGGCCTCATAATTTCCTCAGTCCTTTGATTATCTGCTCAATCCCTGCTTTTTTCTTCGAAAGAACCACTTTGTTTGGTTTGACATCTGAGCTAATACTCACTGGCCAATTCACGCTGCCTCACCGAGGCTAGGCATTTACTGCACATCGATCCTGTCGGCAAGGTATGAGTTCTTTAGGCCACGTGGGAAATGACCGGCTGTGTGATTGCCACCTGTACAACTTAGTGTTAAGTATCCTTAAAATCACCTTGTGTAGCTTCGCTCCATTCATGATCATTCCTCGGAACCTGGCTCACTTCCGTGCAATCTTCTAACTTCTGGTAGGCCAGAACATTCCACATCAAAGCAGTTGGGTACTTCAGGTCTTTGTTTACAAGAATTCATTGACTTGAGAATGTCGAAACGTAATTTCCAGGATTTGAGTAAAACGGTAACTGATGTGGAGGTTCCATTAATCTCTGAAACTCGCAACGGTCCAAACCATTCCTGAACCCTGTTGTGGATGAAATCGGCTTCATTCCTTCACTTTCATTCGCATACTTCAGTCATTCGTCAAAAATATCCATGGGTCGTACTTCTCCGATGCGTCGCTCCGAAAAGGCCTTGTGCACCGCTAGCGATCGGCATTTTTTGAGCACGGTAACATTGGATCACTAGTTCTGTTTCTAATAAGATATCAACCATAACTGAAGGCAACTGGATCAACATATCTGCGTGTGAACACACAAATTGAATTTCACCAAATCCTCATGCTATAAGAACGTCAGTTCTACAATAGCTCAGAACTTCGGTGCATTTGATACTCGCTTTTGGCTCTGGTTTGGTGAGATCGGTTGATACATTTTCAAAGGTGGGCTTAGATATGGCCTGTCACCCATCGTTGTTTACTATCTCCTTGAATCTCCAATCGGCGAAAAGCTTTGCCACCCTCGCACATCGGTTGTCATTTCCGATAATGTAATACCAGTAGTGTCTCAGCTTAGTCTTCGGTCGGAACCTCTAAGCCAGCGTTCTCACCAAAATTGCACAACGTGTATTAACGCCCAAAACCAGGTCGAAAACACCTGTATAGCGCGTCGTTTTTTGAAGCGTATGCGGCGTCAGTATTCTGGATGCAGCACTGGCAACCGGTATTCGGAGGATACTGGATCATCATTGGCTGCTGGGTCCACACTTAACCAATCAGATCTTGGTATGATGCTGAACTATGAAGCGTATGCGGCGTCAGCATTCTGGATGCAGCATTGGCAACCATTATTCGGAGGATACTGGATCCACACTGGGTCCACACTTACACCAATCAGATCTTGGTGTGATGCTGAACTGGCAAGAGGCCCGATCTTCTGACCAATCGCGCACGAGATGGACTTCTTGGCGGTAACAGCGCCTAAATGCGAGTGGTAAGGCGGTTTCGGTGCGGGATTCCTCCTAACAGGTAATTTGATGGCAGCCATCCCGGTGGGCCACGTGACTAACTGACAATTGATGTAGCTGAGCGCGAGCTCGTAACTACAACATGAACCAAGCAAACGAAATCTCGGAGCAGAGTGTGACATACGCAAGCAGTGTGTCCTGGTAATTTTTCAAAAAAGCACTTCCTTTGCAATGTCCGATTATGATACCAAATGGCTAGTGGAACATACTGCCCGCCCACTGACTAAAAAATAGATGGAATTCCGATAAGAGCATGACATCATTCCTGTCACTTTAAGTTCGTAGGACGTATTTCTACTATTCACGTACGACCAAGGTCACATTTTTCACGTATGATTTTGTCGGGGAACAGCGAGTTTACTGAAATTCGAATTGAAGTCATCAGGGTGATGACCTGATTTCTTTACTTTGCGATTCTGAAAATTTCTCAGCTAGGCGGAGAATTAGCAACTGATCGATTGGGAATCGAAATTCTGCTGGCTTTGCTGCTGCAGGCTCCAATCCTGAAGTTGAATTTTCTATGCGTCTGACATCCTAAAAAGCCAAGCTGTAGATTTCAGGTAAATCCTGGTGGTGTCGTAAACAGGTTTAAGTAAATGATTTCCACAGGGTACTGGGAACTTTCTTCGCACCATTGGTACACTCCTGTTAACCATCTGTTCCGCTTTACCCCATCTTTACAGCTCCATCAACCAGTTCGCTTGCCTTAGCCTTTCAAATCCAAATGGATTAAGCCAGTTGGTTTGCGTGAACCTTGGAGAGACTTTGCGCAACGCACTGCAGACCAGTCTGTCAACACACGCCCTGCTTTCTATCCCCGGAGAGGCCAAATCCACGGGCCCCATGGTGATGACTCGGGAACCGTCTTCCACAACAACTGAGGGGAAAATTTGGCTGGGCACAGCGGGCGCGGGCCAGTGTCATTGCTTTTCTCCTCAAATCTTGAAATTCACTCACATGTGAGTAGTACATCTTTTTACCACGCCCTGAGGTGAAAGTATGATGCTAGCTTCCGTGTGGCGGGCCGCGCATATTGTACTGGGGGTTCGATGATGCGCAGTTATCTGCATTTGCGCATCCTTTGTTGTCGTAGCTCGCAGCCTCCCTGTCTCATGTGGAACCATTCGGCCCGCGGCGCCACTATAGTCTCATGTTTTTTTTTTCGTTTACGTGTCAGTGTGCGTACATCAAGTTTCTCAGCCCTCTTGTTTCCCCTAGCTGAGGGGTGCTTCCGTGTTGAGGTTCTTTAAACAGAAGCTTCTGCTCCTCAAATCTAACTTCTTTTATCATTCTGATTGTACTTGCGGTTCCACGTACACCGACCGAATCATGAGGGATCTCTTGGTTCGTATCGGTGAGCACATCTCCGAAACTCAGGCGCTGCTAGCACCTGGTGGACAGTTGCCACTGCGTAATCATCATCATCATCAACGGGTTCGTAACGTGAGCACATCTCCGAAACTCAGGCGCTGCTAGCACCTGGTGGACAGTTGCCACTGCGTAATCATCA